TTCTTGGTTCTTTGATTTATTGCCATTTCATACCTTGGCCAGTAGAATGTGATGAGCCTAATTAAATTAATTACTCAATAGATGTAGCTGTGATTTTAACAACAACAACAACATGAATTAAAAATAAAACTTTTTGTTACTCCCGCCTCTCTTGCCAACGTGATGTGAATGGAAAATAGTTACTCCTACACCCACAATTACCATGATGAACAAGTGTTCAATTGGTTTTTCATGTTGTAGTTGTAAGTTTTCCTGCTGTTGTTGTTTAATTAGATATAGTTGTTTTAAGATATAAATATATAAATGTAATTAATCCATAGTAATGTTGCTTATCATTAAAGGTTTCTAAGAGAATGATTATCCAAATATAGTTATCTTATTCTGGATAGTTAAAAGTACTAAAAATAGTTTATGATGTAAAGATTGTACAAAAATATCGCTGATTCAAAAAGATATGATTATTTTTTTAGTTATTTTAGAATTGGGAGAAAAAATGTTCAAACAAAAAATATATCCCTTTTGAGGCAAGATTTTATTTTCATCCCATAATCAGATTAACAAATCCGAGTTTTGTAAATAACAGGACCCTTCCTAAAACATCAGAATTTTTAACATAAAGGAAAATAGTCTTAGTGCTCTATCTAAAAACCGAGTATTAAGAAATTCACTTGGAATTTTCCATATCCCAAATCGATATAGCTTTTGGTGTCCTCTGGGACATACAGGGTGAAATGAAAGAACTATTCCACAAGTGGCTATCGTTAGAGCACTCCAGCATCGAAATGTGAATAAATCTTTTGTGTCTCGTACCATCGCTCATTACCGTGATACTGGTAGTGTGGTCCGACGTCAAGGAAATGGACGGAAGAAAACAGCAACCGCAGCAGAAATGGTACGAAAAGTAAAGAAGCGACTTGATCGAAACCCACGTCGCAGTGGCCGAAAAATGACTCGTTAGCTGAACATATCGCAATATTCCATTCGGCAAATATTTAAAAATGAACTGGGGGTTAAGTCAATGAAATTCCAAAAAATGCAAAAACTTATACCGCAACTGAAAGAAAATAGACTAAAAACCAGTAAAGAAAGTCTTAAAGTCGGGCGGAATAAAAATGTATATGGGAGCTATATCTAAATCGGAACCGATCTCGATAAAAATTGGCAAAGATATTTCTGAGATATATTTGAAATATTTCCCTGAATATCGTTGTTACGGAGTGCATATACCAAATATGACAAATCGGATGAACAGTATATATGGAAGCTATAGCTATATCTCAACCGATCTTCACCAAATTTTACATACTAGCTTCCAGACTCAATTCGGTCGTAAGAGCCAAATTTCATCCAATTTGGGCAAATATTAGACGTTTGGTGCACAATCCAAGGTAAATCGGACGAAGTTAAATATGGGAGCTATATCCAAATCTGAACCAATCTCAATAAAATTTAGCAAATGTATTTCTGAGCTGTATTTGATATATTTCCCCAAATATTGTTGTTGCATAGTGCATATTACGGCTGCGGAGGACAAAAATAACAAATCGGATGAACAATATATATGGGAGCTATAGCTATATCTGAACCGATTTCGATCAAATTTGGCATACTTATTTTGAGGTTCAATCTTATCGTACGTGCAAAATTCCATACTATTCGGAATGATATTACACGTTTGGAGCACAATAAAAGGCAAATCGGACAAAGATATATGGGAGCTATATCTAAATTTTGACCGATTATCTCCAATTTCAGTTGCGTTCGTCCTTGGGCCAAACAAATGATTTGTGCAAAATTGCATCTGGATAGTGCAATAAATGCGAACTGTACTTTGTTTACAAAAATACATGGACAGACGGACGGTCGGACATGCATAAATCGACTCAGAATGTAATTCTATGCAGATCATCAAAAGGAACTATGGGTCTATCTCGTTCCCTAATGCTTGTTACAAACAAATGCACAAAGACATAATACCCTGACCACCTTGTGGTGTACGGTATAAACAGAAAGAAAATAGACGCAACAGAAAAAAATAGACCTTGGCCGAAAGTGGTGAACTGCCGAAATTTGTTTTTCTCCAATGAGAAAACATTCGTTGTCCAGCAGTTTGTAAACAAACAAAACGATCGTGTTTACTTGCCAAAGAGGTCAGCTGAAAATGTGAACCTTCGGTTGGCCAACAGAACTCAAGCGCCGGCCATGGTGATGGTGTTTGCTGCCATAAAAGCCGATGGTCGCTCTCCGCTCGTATTAATCGACCGTGGCATCGAAGTAAATGCCGAAAACTATCGCGAAAATATTCTGGAGGGTGTATTAAAGACTTGGGCACGAATACATTTTTGCCGCAGACCTTGGACATTCCAACAGGACTCAGCACCATTGCATTCAGCACCCACCACCCATGAATGGTTACAAATAAGGTTCCTCGCTTCATTTTCAGCGCACAATGGTCACCAAAATCTCCGAATACCAATCCGTTGGACTATTGTGTCTGGAGTATTTTGTAGAGCAAGGTTGGCACTAAAAATACCAAAGTGTCGATCACCTCAAGCAAGCGCTTTACCGGGAATGAGCCAAAATACCGCAGAGCAGGCAGCGTGTGACGGTTTCATTGGCCGTTTGAAGGCCATAATTCGTGCCAAAGGTGACAAATTCGAACAAATCAAAACTTATTCTAAAATTTGATGCTGCTTCCGAAATTTTTTGCTTTCATTCAAAAAAAAATTGAAAGAATGTAAATATTATGGCATTTGACTTTGTTGCCGTTTTTTTATATAGTAGAATTTTCTGACAGATAATATTGTAGAATATATTGACTTGTTTAGGGGGAGTTTTTAAATCAGGTTTGTAGCTTTCATCTTTCGTCCAAAATAATCCCCATACTGTTATCTGTAACATTGCTAAAAACTCTACATCTGTAAAATGTATATATTCGCAAGGAATTTTAATAAAAAATTTAAAAGTGTATGGAGGAGGTGTAACTTGCTTACTCTATTTAGATTTCATTGGAGCAGTAAATTTTTTTGCTTCTCATAAGATTGACCTATTTTAAATACTACGCATATATTTTCTAGTTGCATAAAACGCATTTCAAACACAACATATCAATGAAATACAACAAGTTTTTAAATAAAATATTTAGACATGATATCTATACATGTGTTGCCCAAATGTTGGCCTTACAATTTCAATACAATCTATGATCAAGATGGTAGACACAATTCTTGGAAAGGTGTCTGCACAAATTGTTTGCAATTATCATCATTTCAATGACTTTGAATGTGGAAACAATAATATAACATATTTCTTGAAGCAATTCAATACCAATTCACCTTTTCACAAACACTCACACATGTTCACGTCGTTGCAATGAAACATTTCATTTGAAATTTGAAATATATTTAATTTCTGATATTTCAAATTTAGTCTGATGCCTTGGGGATTCTTAGCTATTCAAATACATGCAGATGTTTGTTGATCCACAATCAATTAATCAGTTTGTGGGGGAAATTTAAATAATGTATAGCATAACATAAAATACATAAAAGGTTAAACAGACAATTCATAAAGTGTCTACATTTTGTATATTGTATGAAGTTTTGAAAACTACACTACTCATGGCTGTAATGACGTCTTCATCATGAAAAAATGAAGAAAGTCTCCCAGAAACATTTTTGTTGTCCAAGTTCGTCATTCCGTTTGTAACTCATCTAAATAATAATTAATTTAGACCTAACAAAACATATACAGGGTGAGATAAAAAACTACAAGAAAGTCAAACGCCATAACTTTTAAATTTAATTGAATGAAAGCAAAAAATTTCGGAAATATGATCAAATTTTAGAATAAGTTTAGATTATAGCCTTCAAACGCTGGAAATAAAGTGAGGAACCTCATTTTGAAATCATTCTTGGGTGGCGCATGCTGAATGCGGCGGTGCTGAGTCTTGTTGGAATGTCCAAGGTCTGAGGAGAATATGTTTACGTGCCCAAGGATTTAATACACCCTCCAGAATATTTTCGAGACAACATTCGGCATTTACTCTGATGCCACGGTCGATTAATACGAGCGGAGGACGCCCATCGGCTGTTATGGCGGCCCACACCATCACCATGGTCGGCGCTTGAGTTCTGGTGGCCAACCGAAGGTGCACAATCTCAGCTCGCCTCTTTGGCAAGTAAACGCGATCATTTTGTTTGTTTACAAACTGCTGGACAACGAATGTTTTCAGATCGGAGAAAACCAAATTCGGCAGTTCACCACTTTCGGCCAAGCGAAGCAACTCTTTAACTCTTTTGAGTCCATTTTCTTTCTGTTGCGGTGTAAGTTCTTGGACTTTTTGGAACTTTAATGACTTTACCCCGAGTTCATTTTTCAATATTTGCCGAATGGAATATTGCGATACGTTCAGCTCGCGAGGCATTTTCGGCCATTGCGACGTGGGTTCGATGAAGTCGCTTCTTAAATTTTTGAACCATTTCTGCTGATGTTGCTGTTTTCTTCCATCCACTTCTTTAATGTCGGGCTACGCTACCAGTATCCCGGTAACGAGAGATGGTACCAGACACAAAAGATTTATTCACATTTAAATGCTGGAGTGCTCTAACGATAGCCATGGTGTACCAGCCAAATATAAAGAAATCACACTATGACGTTTAAATTCCATCACCAATAACTGTTTTTCTGGAAAATGCTCACATAAAAAGCTTTTGTACGCTTGTCACTAGAATAATTTTTAAAGCTGTCGGACGAGTGGTTTAGAAATGACAATAGTCTGAATTTGGTTGCAGTTTTTTCATTTTACTCTGTATATTTAACGGAACGAACATTGATTTTTTGAATTTAAAGCTTGCACCCACATTTTTCCAATGTAACTTGGCATTTTTAGACTTTAATCAGGGAAATTCGCTTCCAAAAAATTATAAAAAAATGTTCTGTTATTTTTATTTAAATTTTTGTATTCATTTTCTTAATACCATATTTTAATTATCTTTCAGACCCGCCCGCAGCGATGTCCCCTCCATGTACATTGAGGAGGAAGAACTGAACGACGAAGAGGCAGCCATGGGCACGGCAAGAGCTGCAGAAATTCGTGCTCGCATAGCACCCATAAATATGATGCCACGCTGCAGTACAAGTACGGCGAGTAGTCAACATCATTATATCTCTGAAGGTTTCATACAATACGCCCAGCCGAGTCTAAACGGTAGGATACCAAAATCAATTTTAAAAAAATTGTAGCCATAGCGAATATTGTTTTTGCAAGCACAAATTGTTGTAGTAAATATAAACAATTAGCTGAATGTAGTATTAGTTGCCATAGTAGAATTTTTTTTATCTTTTTCTAGACGAAAAAAAAATAATATTTTTTTGATTTAACAAAATGAATAAAATTTCTATTTTAAATGCTAATCGCTTTTGTATAAAATTTCATTTTTAATTTTATAGTTTAAGCTTGCCGCACTTGAATCATTTCAGTTTCATAATTTCGTTTTTTTTATGTGCATACTCATTTGTATTTGATAAAACATTCATAAGCGTGTGTTTGTAGTTATTACATCGAATATCAAGTGTACAAATGTTAATGTGTGTGCGTCTGTGTTATTGTTTTGGGTTACTTTTGCATATACTCATACAACTGTGTGTGTGCGTTTTATTCTTAGAAATTATATATATTTTCATGTTTACAATTAATTTGAACCTACGTTATTTAAATTCATATGTCCTTCGGCATAGGCGTAAAACCATATAATTTAAAAGTGGATCCCCATGGTTTCTATGGAAATTGTGTTTTAACTCATTGTGAATTTTCAAACCACCCCATAGCAATGTTTTTCTCCCCTCAGGCCAACGTTCGTGGCGCTAAATTTAACTTAAAACTCTTTAAATTTATTTTAAATTGCAAACAATTTATTTCAATACCCACATAGGTAGTTAATTAATTGTTAAAGCTTTAGGGGAAATTATAAGTTAATTGTTAATACATTTCACATATCGTGAGTAGACCCCGGGCGATGGAAAATAAATAGGGTTAGTTGTATGCAATAACACTGCTAAATAAGCCCACAAGGAATTGAGTTTTTTCCATACTAGTTTGAAGTATCGTTTTGCAAAATATAAGAAGCAAGCTGGGTTTGTGCTAAAGGGCAATTTTCAAATTCAAATTAATACATTGTATTAATTAAGTAAAGGTCAAAGCTTATCGCACCCCACATCACATGATGTGTAAAGTGTTAATTCAACGTTGAAATATTCCTATTATTCCTATTAGTACTCGCATTTACCGTCTACGTCTACCGATCTGAGATAAGCTGATTAGAGTTAGCAGGAAATTTGATGTACGATAACCCTAATTTTTCTAGGAGTCCAATTGAGATTTTGCCACACTTGTCATGAATATAAATTTTGAGGCAGGCGAGCGACAGGTGTTTCAAAAATTTCAAGCAGGTTCCATGAAAAACGATATTAAAAACATATCGAAAATTTCAGAAAACTAACGTAAAACCAGTAAAGAAAGTCTTTAAGTCGGGCGGGGCCGACTTTATGATACCATACACCACTTTGCTGATTTAGAAGAGCTCCACATAACAATTGAAAGATTTTATGGGAGAATTCAATCATACACGCTATGAATATAATTATAATTTAAAGTTCAAAGGACTAAATATGCCGAAGCATTTGTATATTTTAAATTCGGACTTGTATTGCCCATTTGGTGCACAATTAATTTGAAATCGGATAAAGATATATATGGGAGCTATATCCAAATCTGAACCGATCTGGATAAAATTTAGCAAAGGTATTTCTGAGCTGCATTTGATATATTTCCCCAAATATTGTTGTTACAGAGTGCATATTACGGCTGCGGAGGACAAAAATAACAAATCGGATGAACAATATATATGGGAGCTATAGCTATATCTGAACCGATTTCGATCAAATTTGGCATACCTATTTTCAGGCCTAATTTGGTTGTATGTGCAAAATTCCATACTATTCGGGCTGATATTACACGTTTGGTGCACAATAAAAGGCAAATCGGACGAAGATATATATGGGAGCTATATCTAAATTTTGACCGATTATCTCCAATTTCAATAGGGTTCGTCCTTGGGCCAATGAAATGATTTGTGCAAAATTTCATCTGGATAGGGCAATAAATGCGAACTGTACTTTGTTTACAAAAATACATGAACAGACGGACGGACGGACGGACGGACATGCGTAAATCAACTCAGAATGTGATTCTATGCAGATCATCAAAACGAACTATGGGTCTATCTCGTTTCCTTTTGCCTGTTACAAACAAATGCACAAAGACATAATACTCTGATCACCTTGTGGTGTAGGGTATAAATATATGCATGTACTCGATATTTTAGTTGGGCTTAATAGACCTTTTATTCATAATATACATAATTGGAATACAGGGTGGAATAAAACAAACTTCAACAGAGTCAAACGCCATAATTTTTACATTTTTTTTTTAAATTTATTGAATGAAAGCAAAAAATGTCGGAAATAGCATCAAATTTGAAAATAAGTTCAGATTTGTTCAAATTGGTCATCTTTGGCACGAATTGTGGCCTTCGAACAGTCAATGAATGCCCGAATTTTGCTCTACGGTATTTTGGCCCATTCCGGGCGAAGCACTTGCTTGAGGTGATCGACACATTGGTATTATTTAGTGCCAACCTTGCTTACCAAAATACTCCAGACACAATAGTCCAACGGATTGGTATCCGCAGATTCATTGTGAGCTGGAAATGAAGCGAGGAACCTCATTTTGTAAATATTCTGGGGTGGCGCGTGCTAAGTGCTATGGTGCTCAGTCCTGTTGGAATGTTCAAGGTCTGCGGCCAAAATGTTTGCGTTCCCAAGGATTAATACACCCTCCGGAATATTTTTTCGATAATATTCGGCATTTATTCTGATGCCAGGGTCGATTATTACGAGCGGAGAGCGAACATCGGCTGTTATGGCGGTCCACACCATCACCATGGTGCTTTAGTTCTGGTGGCCAACTGAAGGTGCACATTTTCAGCTGACCTAATGTTTTCTCATCGGAGAAAACCAAATTCGGCAGTTCGCCACTTTCGGCCAAGCGAAGCAACTCCTTAGCTCTTTTGAGGCCTATTTTCTGTTGCGGTGCAAGTTCTTGCTTTTTTTGGAATTTCAATGGCTTTACCCCGAGCTCATTCTTCAATATTTTCCGAATGGAATATTGCGATATGTTCAGCTTACTACCCATTTTTTGACCACTGCGACGCGGGTTTCGATCAAGTCGCTTCTTTACTTTTCGAACCACTTCTGCTGATGTTGCTGTTTTCTTCCATCCACTTCCTTGACGTTGCGCTACGCTACCAGTATCACAGTAACGAGCGATGGTACGAGACACAAGAGATTTATTCACATTTATTATTGAGCTGTCACTGGAATAATTTTAACAGCTGTCGGACAAGTGGCTTAGAAATGACAGCAGTCTGAAGTTGGTTGCAGTTTTTTCATCTCACCCTGTATATGGTTACAGAGGGTATGTATCGTTTGATACGTCCAAAATGTGCCTCATCGAAATAAGGGTTTTATACGGACGAAATCCATTGTTTCTTCGACATTGGAGAACGTTTATAATTGAGGTTTTATCGGATGGAAAATTAATACCCTGTTAGTGTGTCTGTATATTGGGTTATTGATATCTGCAACATATCGATTTCCCAAACTCAACATTTGGAAGGAAATTGCCCAGAGACTTTAATTCCGACTTTTTTACCCTCCACCATACCTAATATGGAGGTTATATTAAGTTCGTCATTATGTTTGTAACTTATCGTCCGTCCGTCTTTTGTAATCACGCTAAAGTCAAATCGAATGAAGATAAGAAGCTAAAATTTTGCACAGATCAGTCTTTTGCCTGCAGGCAGGTCAAGTTCGTAGGTCAAGTTCGAAACCCCCATAAAAAGATAGCCCCCAATTTTTTCAATGAAATTTTCTGAAAATCCACGAAAGGTATTCTTTCTGAATACATTACTCCCTGCAAGAGTATTGTCAACATTGGTCCACGATATCGTATATCCCCCATTTAACGGTACCTCCTTATATTCGGAATATTTACGATTTTAGCTACAATATTTAATGGAATTGTTTTGAAATCCATACTAGAAGTTCTTTCTAAGCATTTTTCCTCCTGTCCAGATAGGTAACTTCCAATATTCGGTACTTTGACGATTTTAGGTACAATATTCACAGAAATTGTTTGAAATTTCGTATTTAGACTTCGTAATGGATACTACAGTCTATGCAAAAAAATGCCAGGTCTTCGTATAGGCCCCATATATCAGTACCTCCCTATATTCGGTATTTTGACGATTTTAGGTACAAGATTCACCGAAATTGTTTGAAATTTCGAATTATGGTATCGTAATTTGAAGTTCTTAACAGGTACTACAGCCTAAGACAGAAAATTGTGTATGCAGGCTACGTCTTCGTATAGCTCCAATATAATAGTACCTCCCCATATTCGGCATTTTTATGATTTTAGCCAGATTATTCCCCGGAATGATTTCAGATTTGGTATTTTAATTTCGTAAAGAATATTACAGCCTATGACAGAAAATTGTCTGTGCAGGTCCACGTTTTGGTATGTCTCCCATATAATGAAACCTCCCTATATTCGGTATTTTGATAATTTTAGCTACATTATTCACCGGATTTTTTCAAGTTTACCATGTGCAAAATTGGGTAGGCATTGCCGGGTCTTCTCCGAAAACTTTGCTTTTCTTGCATTTTGGGTACAATTTACATGTAAAAGATAATATTGTCCTTATCGACGGCCCACCCCATAGTTGGTTTTTAAATTGCATTTCTGAGAGCTTCGTAGTAGACCTTGAAACGCAACTACTCGCAGCAAAAAAAAAATTGCACTGAAAACATTAAAACATACATCCAACCACGACAATACTTACGGAAATGATTCCCGCCTCGAATTCGATAGGCATCTTTTATAAGACCTCTTAAAAGTAAACAAAATGAATATTGACTACTATCTCATATTATCTGTATATAAAAATTTCAATGGTCCAGTTAATTCAATTAGCTTGATATTTTGATTGCTTTTGCTATGACCAAGTACGATAATCAATCACTGCAAGTGTCAATTATAAGGTGAGTGATAGCGTGTCATACACACCACTTCAAGCACAGCTTTTGTAGGATTAAAAATCTTCAAAGGAAATATAAAATTACAAAATAATAATAGCACATGGCTTAATACCTATCACTTTTGACAGATTTATTGAAAATTAATCTTCTGTTAAAATTTTCGTAGGAAAATTCATTGATATTGCTTTAAGGATTATGAGTTCGTCGAAAAATGTATATTGAGATATTGAAATGCCACACATTAGAAAGAAATTAATTCCCCCAAGGACATGCAGAATATTATACGTATCTTATTGAATTCAATCTTCGACTAACTGCTAACAAAAAAAAAAAAAAAAAAATCTCCCAACATGTAATAAAAATAACATTTGTCATTCTCACCACAAACCTTTAAATATAAATAACGTATAGACAATTTTCTCCCTGCATTAACCGATCCACATAAATAAAATAACATTTGTAGCTAGAGATAGAAGTAGATATATGTAGACTTCTTCCACTTCATATTGTGTATATGAGGCATTTAACCTTAAATCACTCTTACAAAAGATGCCATGTCCTTAACAATGACCTAATAAGCATTTTTATGTAGCTACCTTAAAATCCTGTCTCTCTCTGTGAACATGGCCAAAACAAAAACTAATTTCTCTACACCTCTCACTTCTTTGTAACTATCTGAGTTCTACCTACCTTTACCCTACATTTCTAACTGATATTTTTTCTATTCCAAAAAATTCAAATTCAAACATTAGCTCTTTCTTGTCCTTTAAAAATGGAAAATTCAATTTTTAAAAACCAAATTTCCCCTCCCTTCAACTAGGCGATGTACTATTGCCCTTGCTCGATTGCCATACTTCTTCATCGGCTAATTGGTATGCTTTGTATCCTTATCCCAATGCCGCGTCTGGTACAGCCAGTGCACGCAGTGCCACCACTACCAGCATGAATTGCCAGAAAATAACAGCGGGTAATGCAACGATGAATGCTTTAAATGCTGCTGCTTGGTCGAAAAGATATTTGCCCGTGCGAACGGGCAATGGAGGCGTTAAACTTTGGATTAATGGCAGTGATGTTTAGAAAATTGTAAATGCAAGCAAAAAAGAAAACGAAAAGTTTTAAAATAAATTATTAACGTCTAACATAGATATTGTTCAAATGCTTTCTTTTTTTTTTTGGATTTTACTAAAATTTTTATTATTAACACATTTTCAACTCTCCATGGTTTTCCTTTTAAGTTTAATTTTCTGTGAGAGTGTTTGTGTATGTGTGTGTCTTTTTTTTTTAATAAATTTTCACATTTCTTCTTTTTTTAATTTGTAGATCTTTTTACATATTTAATGTCTATCAGTTTCCTTTGTTGTATTATTTTTGAGTTCGAGTGAGTGTATTTTTTTCGGTGTAATTGAGAGTGTATGCAAGTTTATTAATAACATTTCGTTTAATGTTAATATATTCTGTTGATCCTCTGAATTATTGAGCAGTAATTCGTTCAAATCATTACATGTATCACATTTCTACTATGGGTTCCATAATACATCAAAAATCTAAATCTTATATATATATCACTGGAATTTATAAATATTCGAAGATATTTGAAGGATTCCTTAAGGGTTAAACTTCATCGAAGTTTGTAAAACGTACACAAGAATGAAAATCTGAATTTCAAAATACAGGGTGAAATGAAAAAAAAAATGCAACCAACTTCAGACTGCAGACTCCAAGCCACTCGTCAGACGGCTGTTAAAATTATTCGATCATTATATTGTTTACAAGCGTACAAAAGCATTTTGGTGAGAATTTTCCAGAAAAAAAGTCATTCGTGATTGAATTCAACCACAAGTGGCTATCGTTAGAACACTCCAGCATTTAAATGTGAATAAATCATTTGTGTCTTGTACCATCGCTCGTTACCGTAATACTGGGAGCGTAGCTCGACGTCAAGGAGGTGTACTGAAGAAAAAAGCAAGATCAGCAGAAATGGTTCGAAAAGTAAAGACGCGACTTTATCGTAGTGGCCGAAAAACGGCTCTTGAGCTGAACGTATTGCAATATTCCATTCGGCAATTATTGACAAATAAACACTGGGTAAAGCCATTGAAATTTCAAAAAGTGCAAGAACTTACACCGCATCAGAAAGAAAATAGACTCAAAAGAGCTGAAGAGTTGCTTCGCTTGGCCGAACGTAGTGAACTGCCGAATTTGGTTTTCTCCGATGAGAAAACATTCGTTGTCCAGCAGTTTGTAAATAAACAAAATGATCGTGTTTACTTGCCAAAGAGGTTACTTGCCAGAACTCAAGCGCCGGCCATAATGATAATGTGGGCCGCCATAACAGCCGATGGTCGCTCTCCGCTCGTATTAATCGACCGTGGCATTAGAATAAACGCCGAATATTATCGCGAAAATATTTTATTATCGCGAATATATTTCCAACAGGAATGACACGCCACCCAAAAATGGTTACAATATGAGCTTCCTCGCTTCATTTCCAACGCACAATGGCCACCAAAATCTCAGGATACTAATCCGTTGGACTATTGTGTCTGGGCTATTTTGGTCGATTACCTCAAGCAAGCGCTTCGCCGGGAATGGGCCAAAATATCGCAGAATAACATTCGGGCAGTGTGTGGCTGTTTCATTGGCCATTTGAAGGCCATAATTCGTGCCAAAGGTGACCAATTCGAACAAATCTAAACTTATTCTAAAATGTAATGCTATTTTCGACATTTTTTAAAATTAAAAAAAAAATAATAAAAATTATGGCGCTTGACTTTGTTGCAGTTTTTTTATCTCACCCTGTATTTGAAGAAAATATTGTAAAAAAAAACAAGTTAAAAAGTATCAGTGCGTTTTGCCGACAGATATGTACCATCAGCCAATGTTCGCTTATTTAAATATATTTTGATTTGTGTTAGGTTTATTCGAATTGTTGACTCTTTATGGAGTAGGTTCCGAAGGAATGGGCCAATATTGTCCATTTCGGTCCTAAATTTAAATTATATAACTATATCGTATTTTTCTTTCTTTCTTCACTTTGTATGAAATATATGATAATTTTAAGAAAATGTTAAAATATGCGTGAGTTACCACATATTGTCAACTGAAGTATTCCATTTTCATGCTTCATCATATACAGATAAAAATTTTGGTATAGGCAAAATTACAAGAAACTCAAATAGTTTTATCCAGATTTTTGCGAAATCATAAATTCCTATAAATTGCATATTCATCCCAGGTTTGTGATGGAGAGAAGTATTTAGTTGTTAAAAATCGCTGACTTGTTTCGCATGTTACGACAGACAAAAGTATTGAAAATTGTAACCCTTTTGTGGGTGAAATACCAGAAGGAGTTCGCAGATAATGATATATACCTACATATATCATATCACAACAGATCAAAAATGTTTATATGTGTAAAATTTGAAAAGAGTTGGATGCTTATTTCTCTTTCTTTGAGCGTTTTTTTTTAATCTTGACCCCATTTAGGGAGGTACCGGAATAAATTATGGAAATACTCAGATGTACCAAGTCTGAAAGGAATCGGATGTTAATTTCGCTATATATGAGCTTCTTGGATATTCAAAATGTTGACAGTTTGTGGGGGAGGTACCAGAAGGAGTGAACCGATATATTCTATCTTTTCTCACCTGATGCAAATATTAGGATTTGCAAGGTTGTAGCAAAATCGGAATACCCTTCCTCTTTCTGTGCAGTAAAATATTTTTTTTGAAAATTTTTACCTTTGTGGGGAAGCCATCAAAAGGAATGAACCGATATTGCCCATCGCCGAACTCGATCTAAGTTTGATAATAATATTACGATGTACCAAGTCTGTACCAAATACTCCCTTCGAGAGTTATCGTGCGCACCAGCCAGCAGATAGACAGAGGGACGAAGGGTAGGACGGACATCGTTAGATGGACTCCAAATGTCCTAAAATGGATTTTGTTTAAAGGCACTTTTTTCAATAAGGCACTTTTTGGCCGTATCAAATGATATGTACCCACCGTATCCATTAGGGGATTAAATATAGGAGTTGACATTTCTGGTAATATTTTATGGTCAATCACCCCCGTCATTCCCTTTCGTTTTTAATTGATATTATTATAAAATCTATGTTAGTTAAAAAGTTGCATTTGAAGCATGTTAATGTTGCATTTTGGGTTTACATTTTATTTACGCTCCTTGGTACACCACAAGTTTTTTGAATATGTATAGCTATAAATACACATCCAATACTTCGCAAAAAAATTAACAAAATTCCTAAAGAAGAAAGAATGTATTCAAATGTATATATGAATAATATTGCACTTGGAACTGGGTTCTTCTCCCAAAAATATGAAATGAAAAATATTATAATTTCGATTTGATCTATTAATGAACCAAGGAGTTGATATTGAAATTCAAATGCAAAGTCTCACGCATCCAAGCAATGTGCGATACATTTCTTCCTTGTAAGTTTAGTGGACATGTGAAATATTTTTTTTCCTAATCGGTCTGTATAAAACTTTACGTATAGTCAGAAAAATATAATCGAATATGCCTGATGTGCCCCTTAACCAATGGCGAAATGCGTCTCACTCTTTAGACTTCAGTAGATTCAAATCTGTGATCTCCTTAGGTCACTAGCTCCAATTAAAAAGGAAATTATTAAATATTCATTCACAAATGACCTTCAGAAGACAAAAAATTTCAAATGTAAAAATAAATCCTTTACAAAATAGGGTAAGTGTGACTAAGTTTGGCATGTCCCAGTAGTCGGCAGTTTTGAAATTTAAACTTAAATAACTAAGAATAGAATTGACCAAATAATGAAATAATTGCAAAAAAAAATAACAAAAGTGTTCTCTGCTCTCTTTCTTTAAAAAAAAAAAAAAAACAATGAGCTCCGATCATTTATTACGAGAGAATAACGGTTTTCGTCAGTGAGTGTCTTCCAACGCGTGCGATATTGCTTGTTTGTATAGAAAAAAAATAGTGGTGGCGTCAACTTAATAATCAATTTAAGTAAATTAAATTTAATACTTTTGGAATCAGAAATATTTTATAATAGTAAATAACAGTCTAAAGATCATTTTATAACTCAAAAATATACAAATCAAGTATTTTTTCTGTTATATTATTTAATGCCGACATTAGGAACAGAAAAAAAGAGATTTGCTAGTAGTCGGCAGGTGGTGCCGATTACTAAAAAATATCATTTTTTACCAATTTCACCAATACTTGAAAAAAGTATTAAAAGATAATCCAAAAACTACTCAAATAAAAAAATAGTTTTGAGTCGGCAGTTGCTTTTATTTGTGCTTTTTGACCAACTTTTCTAAATTAAGTAGGTTTTTTAAGTCAGCTATTTGACGTTTTAGATAGCGGTGGCATTTTTTGAAAAAGATCCATTCACAAATTCCAAATATAAAAAAGGTGTTTTTTTCTTTTTTATTTAATCACATTTTTATTTTAATTGAAAATCCATGCGTTACTGAAGATAATGATAATTAAATAAAACACGATTTAAAAACGAAATTAATTTCAAATTCTGGATTAAACTGTGAATTAATAATATAGCGTTGTTTTATACTATTTGAAATAAAAAAATATACAAAATAATATATTTTTTACTGAACTACCATATGCCGACTTCTTGCAAATAGACATGCCGAGCATTGGAAAATGGTGCCGACTACTGGCAAAAAAATACTATTTTAGTAAAATTGCAAATTTTGCCAATTTAATAAAAACAAATTCAATTTTTGTTTATTATTTCGAAAAACAACTTTAACAACTTTATTTTTTAGTAATTGAAAGATTTCACTCAGAATGTTGAAAGATTGTGAGATCGAAAATCCTAAAAGTGCCGACTACTGGTACACTTACCCTATTACTTTCTTTTTTAACAGTATCCATTTTACATTTTCCTTCAAAATATGGCCTTCCCGTTTCAGGCAACAAATGGTGCCATATTATTTCTATTATTTTTGAAAAATATCTTCACCATTGTTCACATCAAAACTATACAGAGTGTCTTGGATGGTTATTCATTCATGCCAGTGTTTGGAACTGGATGTTGAAATACTCATGTACTTCCT